TGAAATATAATAATGCACATTTTATTCTCAACTCTTCCACTATATTCCACTTGCAGATCACTTTACCTTTCAAATAATGTCAAGTGCAAAAACACTTATTTCATTGAATTTCGCTTTGCAATGTGAAAATCCTCATAGAGAAGGATGTGAAATCTTTGACTACACGGTGTCTATGGGTGCTTCTCCAGGCTCTCTATTAAAGGCCAACCTTATGCTTCTCCTGTGTTCCAAACACAGACTCCATATTCAGGAGCAGCTGTGAGATGGTTTCCAAGTCCACCAATGAAAAGCTCAAACAGGGCATAGCAGTTCGCTTCCATGGTGAAGAAGGAATGGTGAGTATATTTATACATTTATGGACATTTGATAGGTGGAGGAAAATAAGCCTGGTGAATCCTAAATGAATGGTCTGCTCAGCCATGAGTCATGGCTATCATGCTGTTTTAAGAAGTGATGAATGTCAGAACTATTGAAGTCGTGTTGTTTCATCAGACAGCTGCATGAATATTTCTTTACCTTATAAGGAAGAAACCTTTTTTATTCTTAAATAAATCTACTTGAATAAGTGTTGTTAACAAGTCTCTCTCCTTAATAATATTCTTTATAAGAGAATTTTACTTCCTTAATTTGTCCATCAGAGTTTCTTTTCTAATGTTTTTTGCTTCTGGTGTTAAATGCTGTGAAACTGGAAGGATATTTTTTGCCCCTTTTTGAAAACTTGTAATGAGGTATAACAATAGGAAGTTGATTGATTGGAATATCTCATTAACGTTTTTTAAAGCCGAAATAATACCTCAACTTCTTCTGCAGCTAATAGCTGATGCAGGAGCAAAGGAGGAGGAACAAGAACATTAAGCAAAGCAAAATGTCTTCAAACTTGGAAACAAACTCCAGTGGATTGTTTTTTTTTACTGTTTTGGAATTTAGCTGGTGTTGTTCGTGTTTTTCTGTTCCAGGGCCAGGGAGTGGTTCGGGAATGGTTCGACATCCTGTCCAATGAGATCATCAACCCGGATTATGCTCTGTTCACCCAGTCAGCTGATGGTATATGGAAAGCTTCTTGCTGAGCATCAGCTGGTTTCTGTCATACATAAAGAAGCTAATTTAGACATTTTTTTTTTTTTTGCCTAGGAACAACCTTCCAGCCAAACAGCAACTCCTCAGTAAATCCGGACCATCTGAACTACTTCCAGTTTGCGGGTCAGATTTTAGGTCTGGCTCTGTACCACCGGCAGTTGGTCAACATCTACTTCACCCGCTCCTTCTACAAACACATACTGGGTAAAACAACAATGGAAAAACATAAAGATGTCTAGATGTTCCAAGAAAGTGTAAAAGTTTTAACTTGCTGCATGTTCAGCCTGAGTTGATTCCCTCCCGCTATCATCGCAACCCCGACCCCTTCATAGGGGAACAGAAGACCTCGCCGATTCAGCCGGGCCAACAATTCCCTTTCAGAGACATAGACCGGTATGGGGCATTGCAGGGTAACAAAAGAAACCAAACGACCCCCATTCCAAAGGGGCGGACCCGTTCATACGTAAAGTAAACAAAAGTAAACCAAAGGCCAGTGGTGCAGTTAGTGAATCAGCTATTACACCTTCGCATGGTGTGATACAAAAACGGCGGGATGTAGAAATGGAAACAGTTAGAGAGTAACTCTGTTGGAAATGTTAGAATTGCTATTCCAATCTGCTGTTCGTCATGTTTACCCGTTAAATTTGATGACTTATATTTTTGTTTTGTTTTTTTGGGGTACTTTAAATTTTATTCAAGTATAACCAAAGTTTATATTTGCTAAAAATCTATCTGAATATACAGTGTTTTCACTGTACACATTTCACTATGTGTGTTGATACTGCGGACGTTGTTGAGACCACCATGAGAACGTTAAAGGGGGAAGTGTGGGCGTG